AAAAATAGTTGCTCATAAGAGTCTAAATTTGAGCTTTTAAATTTGTTTATTTAGATGTTTTAAATTTTAATGCGAGTATTTAATTAATTTGTGAGAATAACTAAGAGCTTTATACTAGTAATAAGTGATTCGCGGACATTTCAATTTTAAGTGAATTTTCAAATGTATATTATTCTAAAGCAGTTTCTAAATTCACTGAGCATTTGTAAATAAGCTTATTTGTAGACATGATGAAAAAGGCCTCATTATATTATTCGTTTTTCTTATTTCAAAAAAATTATGCATATTCCTGAATTTGCGATTACTTCCATGCTTGTTTTAAATTACTATTTTGTTTGTATCGATGTAATTGAATTTACTTCGAATAAACACAGCCACTCAGCTCTGTTAATTTGACATTTCAAATGTCGTCTTTGCAGTGTCAAGACTGCAAGTTTTCGAGGTTCAGATGAGCTCATTTTACCATCCGCCAAGTGTTTATCTTAATCTAAAATGGCGATATATTATAGCGAAAACTCATCACAGTTCTAAAGCAATATATAAATCATATTATTTCGAAAGCAAATATTCATTTATGATGGGAATACTACATAAAATTTTAAGGCAATTTTGTCTGGAAAAGTAGAAAATAATTTTAAATAATTATATTTTCCATTAGTAAGACTGGCCATCATGATTGATACACCGCCCTGAGCAATGAACTGCGTAGGCAAGCACTTACCCAACTCCATAAGACGAATCATGAAATTTTCAATTTTTCGAATTTGAAGTAACCAACAATGATTTTTTTATATTTCTGTGAATAAAAATTTATTTAATGACAATGCTGAGCTTAGACTACATACCAGACACGATGACCCGGCAAAACACCTTCACAGAATAGGCGTATACGCTCAACCCACATGCCCCCTATGTAACCTACAGGAGGAAACGGAGAAGACCCACCCGATTCGGTGTCCAGCCCTAAAGAAAGCGACGGAAACTCAGAGATACTGGGAAGCAAGAAGACAGCTAATGAACTGCTATTAATTAACTGCTACATATGTACCCCCACCCATGGGGAAAGCTGAAGTCAACTAAGGGACTATTGATAAACATCATAAAGCCTGCCATTTGAAATAATACTAATAATTTATTAAAAAACGTCATAAAAATGGAAATTTCAATTGTAATTATCGATAATTTGCATCTGTTTAACTAACTAATGTCTGGAAAGGCTGTCTTTAATTTCATTTCAATTCCATCTTACTTTCGAACTGTGTGTATAATAATGAAACAAGCGTGACGTTCAAGCACTGCCAACAGAACTGCTCTTGGATGAGGAGGGGAGGGGGGGTGGTATTTTTTGTTTAATTAGGAGTTTACGCGTGGTTCTATGCGGCGTCCTGGAAAGTTAAGTAGTTGGTAGTGAGGAAATTTGAGCTCATGTTGAACCAACTCTTAGTTAAACTCATTGGACTAAACCTGTGGAGGAAAATCCCAGTTAGTGGCACTTTGACTTCAAGGACAGTAATGACTCCACCTTCCAGTAGTATAAATCTAGCCACTTTAGTCTTCACACCTTCTTCAACGGTGAGATGCATTAGGAGTACATTGGGGAATTATAAAAGACAGGTAAGCATTGCTTTAGAAAATCAAGCTACTCGTCTGCAGCTATGAATAGAGTTACGGGAGCACATTTTATCCCCCACAATATTGTGTTGAAAACTGTGAAGCTTTATGGCATTTTTTACTATTATTGCTGCTACTACTACTACTACACTTATTATTTTTTTACTATTACTATTATTGGTCATAAAATGAGGATAGACAAGCAATATTTTTGCTCAGATGATAAAATTAGTTCACAAAATCACTTATAGAAAATCTATTTCAAATCGCAATTATATTATAACTTAAAATTTTTTATTTGCTTGAATTTTATTAGATGAAATAATATCTTAACTATCTGTTTGCCATTAATAAGTGGGTATGTCTTAATTTAAAATGTAACTTTCCAATTTCTGCCTTACCGTCGTACGTCCCACGTCAACCTTCTTAAAACTAGCGCCAAAAGTTTAAGTGACAAATCGCAACAAATCGTTTGTGCATTATTCCTATGTCTATGCGAATAAAAAGGAAGAAAATTGGAAAGCAACTAAGTCCATGCCGTTATGGAATGGGTAGAAGGAAGTGTTACGCGCTTATAGCACCAACAGAGTTTAACTAACATTGGTAGTTATCGGCGTTCCCCAAACGATATACCGGTTTTATTCGACAATCAACACAATCTAGATGCACAGGCAATGACAATGCGGAAAAAACACTTTGAATTAAGTGGAAGGAGGTCGTGAAGCGGTAAGTTATTTCTTTTCTCATAGAATAATGATCTGACAATTTAAGCAGATTTAAGGACGAGATTCCAATTCTATTGTCTGGTTGACCTGCTTTTATTGTCACTCATATCACCTAAGCTTGATTGGTATTTTATTAATACTGAAGTAGGCCATTGGTATTAGCACTAATTTCATTTAATAAAACAGAGTTCATCATTTAGTTGCTTTCAACCTCGTCTATCTTACTTAAATTGAACAAGGCGTATTTTGATACAACTGTGTATTTAATTATATTCCTTATTTTACCCCTAAAACATGATAATAATTTCATATTTAGAATCATAAAAACAGTTGATATCCGTTAATATTGCTAGCATATATATGTATATATATTTGTATCGATTGGAAGGCGTTTTGTTAGTTATCATTAGCCCTTCAGTTGACTTCAGGCTTCACAGAGAGGAGGAGGAGGAACATCAAAGTGAAAAAAAGTCGAGATTGGGGGGGGGGGGGGGAGACTATCACATATACATGAGTACTGCCAAAAGGGGGGGGGTAGGGGTATAGCTGGGGTGGAGAACGATTAAATTACGCATTACTTCAATATCCTCCAACTTTCGGAGGCTTTACTCCTCCTTCAATTAGCAAGAATCTGTTGAAAACTTTACGGTTTGATTTTGTGGGCAAATTAAGCATTTTCTTTTATTGTCATGCAGGATTTAGCAGACGAAATTACTTGATAATGAAGCGTGATATGGACACACATAGCCATATTTTGATAATCAAAGTTGATCAATGAAAGATTCGGGATCAAAGTAGAGAAGAAGATACAAAATGTGGATGTTTGTCTTGAAAAGTCGGTGGAGATTACTTTACAAGTTTATTCTCTCTATCCTTTAAATCTTGCCTAGACTATTTGGTCAGTATTTGCAAACTAAATCCTTAATTTTGCACAGTGAACTGTGTCGTATTCACTCAGGATGAAGACGCTTTAGTTAAATTAATAAAAAAATATTATTTATTCTAGTGCCAATATGAGGAAATTAATAAGTTGTGATGCAATAGTAGTAGAATATGATCAACGGCAAGATGAACTCGAATAAGATGATTTGAGTTTCGGAATAAATTTAAACCATAAAGTGTGAAGAATTCAGAGATAGAGGCTTCTAGTCAAGATATTTATTTACCTATAAGAATATTTATCTGAGGACATTTTGAGATCAATAGAAAATAAAGTTATTCAGGATTAAATTTTCATTTATCGATTGATAAATTTTTTAGCCAAAAGAATCAGGGAAGAATAGCAACAAGCAACAAAAAATTTGAACATTCGAGTTAAATGGTTTCTTTTAACGGTATTCTAATTAAGGGTTGAAATTAACTTTTCGAAGTGAATTAAGTTAAGTCTAATAAGAATTGGTCTAGGAGGATTTATGAAAAAATCAGATGAATTACCTTTAGTCAGTTGATGTGTGGCCAGTTGGACTTTAGAAAAGGAACCTTTGCCAAGAACTTCATGAAGAGTATATCTCCCAACATTTGAATTGCTCTCGAAGGGCGCTAATCCACTTGGTACAGGAGAGGAATTTTTTGAGTCCCGACGAAGTTGAATTTGTTCAAGCACAAATTCATATGGTGTTTTGTCAGGTCCAGAAGTATTGCATCCGGAAGATGTTTCGCTTGGAGAGATCAAATCAAAAGTAGTGCTGCGCTTCATAAAACTAGTTGATGATACACCTGTATTTTGAATTTTACACACTGGAGGAGATTTACTTTTCAGCCCAATGTAATTTTTCATATTGAGGAAATAAAATGATATATTGATCTAAAATATTTCAATTAGACTTCGTTTACAACAATTAGTAATGAAACATAAAAGAATTTAAATTCGTTAAGATTGTTTAAATATAAAGTGCATAACGCTCTATAACATTAAGGTTTTGGCAAAATGTGCATAAATTATAGTTACTTAGTCTGTTACCTAGTCATTTTTTAAATCTTCAGAAAATGCGGAGAACATTTGCATTTTAAAATATCGCCGCTATCAAAAATGACCTTATAATTTGGGCCTTGGAATTGTTAAACAAATCAACTTGATAAAAATCATGTTAAATATTTTTGCATTTATTTCTCATTCAGCCGTAATTGAGTGATCACTTTTCAAACTGAAATGAAAATCATAAACAAAATAAGGCCAGTCTCATTTTAGAATTTTTTTTGAAAAAAGATCACGAAATGCTTTTACTAAAAATTGATTCATTTTGAATATTCACGGTCTTAACTTTAACACAAATATGCTTGTTTATTCAGGCATTGTAGAGGAAAGCAAGTTCGAAAAATATCATTCATCTTATTCTATTCCTCACATTTCGACACACAAATTTTTTTATGCATTCGTTGAAAATTAAAAAATCAGATATGTTGGTTAATAACAATGAAAAAGTAAAGATAACAAAGGTTGGGAGTTAAAATGCAGCTTATTTTCTCGAATTAGGTATTTAATTTTATTTCATATAACAAAGAATATTCATTTATTTTCAATTATATAAATATGAAAAATTATATTGTTTCACTTTTTAATAATCTTGCTGTATGGTTTGCATTCGGTAAAGTTTTGTTTGTAATTATCGTTTGTATAAAACTCGTTTTGATTCCCTCACCCCCAGTGTGGTTGCGCTTTAGGTCATGGACGCTAACGGAGAGGTTCTCCTCAGAGTAAAACGGCGTTGCACCGAGCCCCCAGTAGAATTTTTCAATACAGTTCCCGCCAAAAGGAGATGTCCTGACAACGAACCCACTGGTGTTGCGCACTTTAAGTATCTCGGTACATCTTCCTCTACTTGCGAGACCGTAAACATCGCACTTGAAGATTTAAGAGACGTCGGTGCTACCGGTGAACGGAAGATAATTCTCTCAACGAAGCATGTTGCACATATTTTAGATTCTTCCCAAGATGCTGTTCAATGCGAAGTAGGCATTTTTCTTGTTATTTGATCTTTGTTCTCTTTTAACATTTGTTTTGATGTTTTCAGGTTCGCATCTCCAGTGCTCAGTGTAGAGGTTTGAAAAGAAAAGCAGAGGTGTCTGAAGACGGGGCTGTCTCGGAATCACCTCCAAATAAATGCATTCGTATTATCGATCTCTCAGTTAACGACCAATCCGCTCTTATATCCTCTGCTCTAAATAACATCAGAGTTGATCCCGAGAATGTTCCACTTGATGTTAGTTCTGTCTTTGAGGATAAGTTACAAGTGAAGGAACATGACAATGACAGTGGATTTGTTTATGATCTCTACGCAGTTACTCCAGACACTGTAAACGCCTTTGATTTGTACCCAATTTTATCCGACGAGGATTCTGATGAATATGATAGGTATGCTTTCAGGGATGATGAATCGGACCCAAATAGTGAATCGAATTGGCGAAATGATTATCCAGATGAGGAATCTCTTTCATCTTCCTGTAGCGAAAATGATGATGCTGTTGATGAGCTTTGGGAAAAAGATGACTACGACGACGTCGATGGTGATGATGATGATGATAGATATGGCTTTATTTACTGATCTAATTTCTTTAACGTTTTATTTTGTCTATTTTATTTTTATAAACTATTGGACAATCAAATTAGTTTTGTATTTTTTCCTATAGTTTGTGGTATTGATCTCGAATGTAGATAAGCTAGTCTTTGTTCCCCTATTAAATTTATTTCAATAATAGGTACTCTACTGCTAACAGACATTTTACTAGTGTAGTTTAATTATATTTAAAATTAAATTTACAGTCTGATGTGTGGAATAAACTCATCAGAGCAAGTGCTGGTTCCATTTTAATTTTTCGGCTAGAACGGACTTCATGGCTGTGTGCACATGGCCGTCGCAGACAAAGAAGTTAGTTGCCGTACTACGGTTGCGTATCTCCTCTTTGCACCCGCTTAGCCACTTGCATTAGTCAGATGGGTTCATTCTTTGTGAGAATAAATATTTACTTATATGAAATGGCAGGCTTTATAGAAGTTATCATTAGCCATTTCGCTGACTTCGGGCTTCACAGGTGGGGGGAGGAACAGATGAGTGATGCACAGATTGAAGTGCTGTGGAAGTGATGGGATATGACATACAGTGGGGTCGTGGTAGTCTGAAGTGAGAAGTCAACTGCCGATTAATAGACTATTTTGCCGTATGGGTACACGTTGCCTAGGGTGCGCCATGTAGAGGTGTGTCTATCGCGCTCCCCAAGAGAAAGACTAGGTGATCTTGAAATTGAAATCATAGTAGTGTATTTGACTAAATGTTCTTACATGTCTTGTTACAGTAAGCTAGTTCTTTATTGGTCTTTGTGTTTACGTGAGCAAGTGCTCCTGTTATTATCACTTAGTTTTCGAGCTTGCAGTGCATCTAGAATTTGTCATGTTCTTGGATGCTTAGTTGCCTAAATTTCAGTGAACTTGTATGCACATCCACTAAAGTGAGTAAGGCTGAGAATTTCACAAAACCCTACTTTAACGTCTAGTTGCAAAGAAACAAGCGTTCGAAAACTTTTCTTTCCAAATTTCATGCTAGAGACGCTGTCTCTTTGAGATTATCCTTGGAATCAAAAAATCATGAGTTTAAGAAACATCGAGATAAATCAACTTTACGCCATGGTGCATACAGTTTATCGCTAATTGTTGAACGCTTTCGTGTTCAAGCGACTTTTTGGGTCACTCTACTCAATAATCCACCTGCTAATTATAATAATCTATATGAGAATACACAGGACGAGTCTAAAAGAACTCGAGGTCACCACAAGGTTAGGTGCCACTGTGTTCTTCAAATAATGTAATATTTCAGAAAGTAGTGATGACCTAAATAACTTTAGCACGCTTTTGGGTTTAACCTTCAAATTAAATTCACCCCATTTTGAACTTAACTTTAATGGGAAAGGCAAAATGTCCACTCACAGTGTGCCAAACCACTAACTCGGCCGTCTAATTACGCTCAAAGTCAATTAGCTTGTTAACTGATAAACTTCGATCTGCACTAATTGGTGTTAATTAACTCACTTAAAGCCCAAACAAAACATTTTGATCGCATTATTGGATTTTCATTTGATCTCATCGCACGCGTAGTCAGTTATTACGAGTACCTGCACATCTTGACTGAAGTACAAGTCTCCTCACCATGATCTCTCTCAAATATTTCCTCTTGTTTGTTTTCTGCATCACCGTGGCCTTCTCAGACGACGCAGCTGAAGCCCCAGCAGCTGAACCTCCAGCTGGAGGTGATGCAGCTGCAGCTGCAGCTGCCGGTGGTGACGCCGCAAATGCAACTGCTAAAACAAATGGTAAAATGACCGATTTGACCAATCTGATTACTATTGTCATTGTTCTTACTAACATTATTCTATGACGCCCACAAAACTTCCATTATTCACTAATATTAAACCATTTCCTTTGTGATTCTGCTGCTAGGTGTCAGCGGTGGAGCACAGGCGAATGCAATGCTCGTTATTGGCAGTCTCGTGGCTTACAAGCTGCTGGCCTGAATGGGCTAAAGCACGAAGAAGATGGAAGCGCGCCTCGCGTCGGAAATTGTGACGCTGTTTGTCCTGTTGCTTGCTTGAGATCTCAATAAATGCCTCTGTTCTCTCATTTCTCACTTTTCTAC